TTGGTGGGTAAGGATCATGTGAGCCAGCAGGGCTCACCATTGGATGGCTCTTCTGGGGGGGCGGGGCGGGGGATGGGGAAGTTAGTCTTTGGGGCCAGGGTGACTCCCAACAGGAGGTGGCTCAGGGGTCAAGGGCCCCTGAGTTCAATCCCCAGGTACCCAAAAAAGAAAGGCAGGTTCTTCCAGAATCTACCTGCGTCTCCATTTCCTCCCTTATCCCTCTGGGCTGACAGTGCTGACTTCACAAGTGGTGGGGGGACTGAAGAGGATGGTGAATGTGACAATGCTTCTGGAAAAGCATAGTGTCATTTAAAAAAAAAAATAAGGAGAGAGAATATGTACTGAAGCAGGAGGAAATAAAAGCTTTGGCTGAAAAACATTTCTCATATAAAGTTCTGTGGTCACCCAACATGCCAACTGCAGTCTCCATTCAATGATGGGAACGTACCGTCCCGTGGGATAAAAAGCGCTCGGGGTGGGAACTGGTAGGGGGCTGTTCCCCTTCCCTAGTGCAAGCTCCCTCGTGGGGGGAAGCCTGCAGCCAGGAACAGGCAGTGTCTCTGGCTTCCCTTCTCTTTCCCCCACTTGGCCCTTCCTCCCAGAATCTTGGTAGAGAAGAAACCCTGGAGGGAGAGGAAGAGCAAGGAGTCTTCACCCGGCTCAGGCTCGGGTCGTGGTTTAGCTTCCGTGTTCCTGAGACACAGCAGATACTTTGAGGGTAAACTTTGCCAGATCTTTGGGGAGCAGGCCCCCATCCCCCCACCACTCTCCTGCAATTCTCCTGATGACTGCAAGTTCCTCCCTGCACCTTCCTCACCTGCGAACCCTCCAGTCTCCCAGGACCCTCCACTGGCCGAGGGGCCACCCCGCTCCAGCAACCTCCACACTCTGCTCACCTCCAGTCCTGGGGAGACACTCACCTACCTTTAGCCCAAGGAATACGGAAAGGGCATGTGCACAGGTGCACCTCCCTGGCCCCGTCGCCAGCCCAGTGGCTCACTCTTTAGACTTTTCCGAGGGAAGTAGGCACCAATCAGTTTGATCCCCACAAAATGCAAGAAGTAACAAGCCTGGAGCACTCCTTAGCCCCCTCCTTCTCTCCTCAGCTGAGAAGGGGAGCTCATGATGTGGCATCTGCTCTCTCCAGATAAATCTCTTACTTGCCCACTCCCAACCCGTAACTCACCTGCCTCTGATAAAATTCATAGCAGGACCTTCTCCTTTCAGTTTCCTGCCTTGGGTTTCCTATAAGGCATTTCCAAATGTCCACCCAGCCCGCCATGGAGGTAGTGTGAAGCCCATTCTCCGGGAGGCCCCCTGGGCTCCGTTCCATCCAGACCCAGCAGTCACACACCTAGGAGAACCAGAGAGGTGGGGCGGAACCTAGAGGAAGAAAAGAAAAACCCCATCCAAAAATGTTAGAACCCTTCATCTGCTTCTAAGAGATTTTGTTAAGGCATGGAGCCCAGCATGCCTTTAGGGGCCAGGAAATGTCCCCAGCTCAGGCTGGGAATATTTTTTCTTTTTACTTGTTAATAGACCTTTATTTTATTGGTTATTTGCGGTGCTGAGAATCGAACCCAGTGCCTCACACATGCCAGGCGAGTGCGCTACCACTGAGCCCCAGCCCCAGCCCCAGGCTGGGAACATTTCACATGGATTCCAGAAACCAGACACTGACCCCCTCTGTTCCACTGTCCCGGCCTGCCAAGGTGATCACAATGCTGAGAAACACCTTCAGAAGGAACAAAATGAGAGTTCGCAGCCTTCATCCTTTGACCAAGACCTGGGGTCGCCACTCATGAAAACATGATTGTTCTTGCTACCTATTGGGGCATTTTTAAAAATACCCCCAAAACAAGACTCTTCAAACCATCATTCTGTTTTTCTCATAATTCTGTGAGTCAGGAGCTCTGGAAGGACATGGCCAGGGGTCTCAACTCCATTCCACCGATGTCCACTGAGACAGGAGGAGCCGCCTCCAAGACAACTTATTCTCTGACACGTTTGGTCAAGCCTCTCTCCCTCTTTTTTTTTCTCTATCCTTTCATCCATCTCTTTTTTTTTTCTCTCTCTCTCCCTCCAGAATGTTCTCACTGGGCCTGATGGTCTCAGGGGAGTCAGTCGGCTTGCAGCTGCTGCACCCTAATCCTGCTCCGTCACCCACAGCCTTCTCCCCCCACCCCCCGTCTTCACAGGGCATCTTCTTCTTCTTAGAGGAACATCAGTCACATGAACCTCATCTATTTTTTTTTTTTTTGGTACTGGGAATTAAACCCAGGACACTCAACCACTGAGCCACATCCCCAGCCCTTTTTTATATTTTATTAGAGACAGGGTCTCACTGAGTTGCTTAGGGCCTCATTAAATTGCTGAGGCTGGCTTTGAACTCACCATCCTCCTGCCTCAGCCTCCCGAGCCTCTGGGATCACAGGTGTGTGCCACTGTGCCTGCCACAACTTACCTCTGAAAAGACCCTATTTCCAAGCAAGGTGAAACTCACAGGTTCAAGGTTGGGACTTCAGTCTGCACTAGCAGGCATAGGTCAGTATCCAGCATATATAACCTTGACATTTCCCCCCATTCCTCTGCATACCAAATATGAGGTCTTTTCTGGATACTGGAGACCACTCAGCCCCAGCTCGTGAGAGGCAGAAAAGCTGGCTGCTTCCTGGGAGCACCAGCAACAGTGCCTGTTGGTGGGTAAACGCCCACGTCTTCTCCTGACAGGTGTGCTCTACATTGCCTCCCAGAGGTTCTCAGAGGAACTGCACCCCAGGTGCCCCCTAGGGAAATTTGCTAAGTAACATCCCTTTCATCATCTGCCTTCCCTTCCCTTTCTCATTTCACCACTTCCCTCTCAAGTGTTTTCTGGAATCAACTCCCAAATAAAGCGCTTGCACTTGAATCCTTGCTTCGATGTCTCCTTCTTCAAAAAAACCCAAGCAAAATCAACCAAGAAAGAACAAAGACAACCACTACCTAAACGAATTTATCTCCAATACCCAGGACAGACCCTGGGGGAAAGGGCACAGCGTCTGGCACAGAGTAGATGCTCAATAAATGTCCATTGGATGACTGGCCAAATTTCCCTTTTGTCTTTCCAGATATCGATGAGTGTAAACCGCCCATCAGTATATACTGTGGATTAAATGCTGAGTGTAAGAACGTGGAAGGAAGTTTTCACTGTCGCTGCATTCCTGGATATGCGCTCCTCTCCGGAGATGTGCAATTCAACAATTCCAATGAGAACACTTGTCAGAGTAAGGCAATTCTTGTCCTCTCGTCTCCCTCTCTCATTTTTCGTTGAGTCTAATACGGGGCGAGGGGTGGACAAAGAAACAGATTTTCTTATTATGGGACCAGATTATGTTTCTATTTCCTGGAAAGAAGATAACAAAGAGAAGGAGGATATTCAAGTTCAGGGGAATAGTGGAGTAAGGAGGGCAAGTGTAGTCTAGGGAATAGAAAGTGGTGATTGAGACAGAATCCTTTGAACCACAAGGAAGAAACTAACTCAGACTAACTTGTGTGTTCCTATGAATGCATGGATGAACTTGAACTCCAGGCCAAGAATGAAGCTGGGATTTGGAATTAGCCGGAACAGGTGGCCCCAGACCATCAGCATGCTCTGCTCCCTCCACCTTAGTCACCCTCTTGTGTCTGTTCCTTTCTTCTCATTCCCTGAAGGCTGGCTCTGCTACCTAGATCACAGCACAGAAAATGACCACCCTCAGCTCCACATCTTACCCTGTCTATGGCTCCAACCAAAGAGAGGTTAATGAACCCTCTCTTAAACCTACTTGCAAATTCTTTGGAAATGGGCAAAATGTTCCAGTTTAAGTCATATGCCCACCCTTGGGTCTGTGCCCACCAAAAGTTCCATATTCTATAAACTTAACCGTTCCTATGGAAACCACCTAGATGGGGGAAGTCCATATGCACGAATCAAACAGGTCTTGTAAGCACGTGACTTTGCATCCTTGGGAAAGGATGGTCACCGTCAAGTGCCAACTTGCCCTCAGATTTTCACCCACTCTTTTTCATGTCCTGTTTTATTTCACAGAGAGCTTTACCAGCCCCGAGCTATTGGCCACAGTTGGCCTCGTACAAGAGAGACAAAACTAAATTCAAGGAAGCTACTTTGATAAGAAAATAATGACGCTAATAGCTATTCTTCTTGTCATTATTCCTTATTTCCCTTGTGCCACATCCTAAGGTCTCCCCTAAATGCTGCCCATGCTTTATGTCATCTGCAGTAATCCTGTGAAGTAAGCATTGCAGATGAAAGACACTGAGACAACCAGATACTCAAAAGTCTGCTGATAGTGGGGTCGGTCATCCATAAACAGGTTTCAGTCATGATTCACTTCCTGTATTCTCACCTGGGTCTCATGGAAGCCCACGAGGGACATGAAGACTCTTTTTTCTAGTAGGAAAATAATAATTATCCTTCTTGATCAGTCAGAATCTAGCCTGAAAACAGAAATCACACCAGATGCTTTGAACCAGAGGAATTTCATTTCAGGACTTGGTACTGGTAAAGGGATTGCTGAGATGTCAGAAAAACCTTCTTCGCGAGCTCTCTTTGAGAAATAAAACTTGTACCTAGCATGCAAGAGGCCCTGCATTTGATCCCCAACAGAAGAAAAGAAACTTCCTCATTTTATACATTAAGTTCTGCAGATTTGTTCCGTTCGTTTTTCTATGGATTGTTTTGTTAAACCACTTTGACTGTGGTGTTATTCATTTCCAAATTAGAAATGATGGACTTTTTGCTTTGTGAAAGGTCGTATCTGCATTGTGATAATATGGGACACCCTAATAACCTTACAGACAATTTTCACTTATGCATTTATATACTTGAAAGACCAAGTTTACCCAATCTACATGGTAGTGTTGTAATGTAGGTAGTTCATGCTAAAATCATATGATAGATGCTCAATGAATACTGAATGCATTAACATTGGGGGAGCCCTGGGTAGGGTTCCCACCCCTTCCTCCCTTCCTTTCATGTTCGTTGCCATGAGCTCACACTTTCCATCAGTGGTTGTAAAGTGAGCAAGTGGAAGAATGAACTCCAACCGCACCAGACTCTTCCCAGGCAGCGGGCACCTCTGCCCACCAGACGCGAACTGACAGAGGCTCCCCCTGGGCTTCACCTCCTTAGACTCACCTTATTTCAGAAGAGAAGAAAATTCCTTTGGTTATTTTCCTGATTTCAAGAGTTCTGCACAATGCTTTTAAAGAGATTGACCCCATCTGGAGTTGATCTTTAACCACCGTTGGAAAGTCCAAGCCACTTCCCGCCATGACAAAGTTTCTTCAGCCTTCCGCCAGAATGACATATTTCTACCATGAACATGGTGTCCTTTAACAATCACACCTCGGGTGGGAGGTCAGGGTTCCTGGAGTCTGAAGGCAAAGCCCTCCATATTACAGGAAAGCTCTGTGCCCTTGTTAGCAAATAGACTCAGCTGAAAACCACAGACTTCACTCGGTCTGATGGTCACAGGGAGGTAACACTGCTGGCCTCTCCCCGGCTTTCTGGGACAGAAGCCATCGCCTTCACAAGGCGCAGGCAGCAATCAAAGGTCTTCATCGGTAGCCGAGAGCCAAACTGGATGCTCTGCATCTGCGTTGACCTGTAGCTTGGCTTTCAGCTGAGTCACTTGGCTAAAGCGGGCAAAGAACTTTCCTGTAACATGATGATGATTCTCAGGCTAACTTTAAAAAAAAAACTGAGGCTTCTCACTTTCCCTTTCCTTGGCCATTTCAGTTATAGTGTCCAGGCAAAACTCAACTGAAGATCGGGACACCTACACTTGTGCCTCCTCTGTGGAGGGGTCTGCCCGCCACGCGGTGTCCCCGATCATTCTTCCTGGAGGGGGCTGTCTTGCTGCTGTAGGAGGTTGAGCAGCATCCTGGCCCCACCCACTAGAGTCCAGGGGTATCCACCCGGGTCAGACTTCACCAAATGTCTCCTGGGGCACAAAATCACCCCGATAAAAATCCCCCGGGCTGTGAGCCCCAAACAAGCAAGCAACAACCCTGTCAGTGAACGTAAGGGGGGTCACAGCCCTGCAGGGCAGAGCGGCGAGCCCCCCTCTTCCTCCCACCAGTCACACCTCTCTGTGTCCTCTGCAGATATCACCTCCTCAAAGACACCCAACGGCCACCCAGAGGTGAGTGAAGGCCAACCCTGGAACCTAGCCAGGTTATGAACACCAGGTAACTGATGATCCACAAAGCCCAAAGTTGGCCTGTGGAGGGGGTTTAGGGCAGGAGACTTGTATTATTATGAACGTGTAATGTTAGCTACTGATAATGTTGTATTATATAATAATGTGCTGCATCATGTGTCATTATGTATTAGATAATGTTCTTACATTACCCAGTACTATATGTATTGTTTAATTATATTATATAGCATAACTATATGACATTCTTATAATAGTACTCTTATATATGACTAGTTATATGATTTAATTATACACTATAAGGTAGTATTAATTATATAATTATATTACATACAATTATATGACATAGTATTAGTTTATGATACTGTTATATGAGACAGCAAGATAAAGATAAATGGTAAGTAGTAGATACATAGAGAGCTAACAGTTCATTATAAGGAGCCAGCTGACGTGATTATTGGAGTCTGTCTGTAGTGGGCTAGCCCGTCGGGAGCTCTGTAGCTAGACACCAGGGAGGCAGATGGATATTGCTCTACCTCAAGGGTTGGTAGGCTTGAGTCATAAGAAGAGCCAGTGCTTCTCACTTGAGTCCATGGCGGGGTGGGGGAACGACGTTCCAGTTCACGACAGTCAGGTAGGAGGTAATTATCTCCTATAACCTTTTGTCTCTATTCAGGCCCCCCACTGATGGGATGAGCGCCCCCCCCCACCTTTGCTCATCCATTCATTCCCTGATGAATATTTAGGTTGTTCTCACATTTTGGCTATTGCGAGTTGTGCTCTTATGAATAAGTACTTGTAGGCATCCCTGATTTCAGTTCTCTTAGGTCTATACCTAAGAGTGGAATTTCTTGGTCGTACAATAATCTAAATGTTTACATATAGGATTCAGAAAGGGCCATCTGTTTGCTCCATCTAGAAACCCACATGTTAATGTCATCCAGAAACACACTCACAAAAACATCCAGAAGAATGCTTGACCACATACCTGGGCACCCCAGGGCCCAGTCAAGTTGACACACCAAGTCAACCATCCTGTTCTCAGTCATTGATTTACTCACCTGTAAAATGAGGTGATCATGGAACCCACCTCCCTCAATATTTGAGAAGATTAAAAGAAATAACGTCTGTGAAGTACTTGGTGCAGTGCTGACCCAGACAGCATACTACACACGCACTGCCATTGCTGTCTCCAGTAGACCCATGACGTTGACATGATGCAGAATCACATCACACAATCACCCCCAGACCTTGGGCAGAAATAATACCGCGCTTACAATAGGAGTTCAAAGCGTGCCCACTGCAGTCACAAGCACACCAATCAACAGGTCATCACAGGAACACTGTGTTACAAAATCGCATCTTTGAGTTCCTCAGAAAAAATTAAATGTAGACTGGCCGTGTCATTTGACAAGTCCACCCCTAGGCATACACCCAAGAGAACTGGGACTCAAATACTGTTCATAGCAGCTCTGCCCACAAAAGCCAAAACGTGGGAACAAGCTAAAGATCCATCAGTGAGGAAATGGAGAAACAGAAGGTGAGCCATCCAGACAGTGGGGTATCATGGAGAACCAAGTCCTGACACGTGCCTTGCAAGGTGGAAGAAACTCTAAACACTGTGCTCGGTAAAGAGGCCAGATCCAGGGCGAGGGGGGTAGCTCCATGACAGAGCACTTCTCCATGACCAAAGCCAGAAGGAGCCAGAGGCACAAGGTCACACAGGATGACTCCATTCACATGAAATGTCCCGCCATGTGCTGTGGTGGGTGCCTCTAGTCCCAGCTTCTCTGGACCGAGGTGGGAGGACCACTCGAGCCCAGGAGTCCAGGTCCAGCCTGGGCAACATAGTGAGAACTCATCTCAGAAATAAATAAAGAAAAAGTTAGAAATGTCCAGAACAAGAAAATCCACAGGAACAGAAAGAGGACGGATGGTTGCCCAGGACTGGAGGATGGGAAAGTAGGGACTACTGGGCATGGAGAGTCATTTAGGAGTGACAAAAACATTTTAGAACTACAGAGGCTGTTCACCGTGAGTGTGTGCATGCCACTGACGTGTTCACCTTAAAACAATAAATTTTAGGTTATGCAAATGTCACCTAAAAATGCATTTCAAAAAAAAATGTCATCTTTCTGGGTGAGAACTACAATAGCAATTCTGAAGGGCAAAGACTTCAGCACCTACTCTGTGCAAGTGAATTTAAGCCAAGAAGACTTTAAACACTGTTGAGAGGAGGGGGATAGACTTTATGTATCAGGCAGGAGAAAGGGAGGCTACTCCCAAACTAGAAAGCTCAGCTCAGAGCTGGGCACACCTTTAATTCCAGGCACTTGGGAGGCTGAGGCAGGAGGATGGCAAGTTCAAAGCCAGCCTTGGCAGCTCAGTGAGACCCTGTCTCCAAAACAAACAAACAAACAAACAAAAACAAAAAAGCTCCACATTTTCATGAAGACTCGTTGAACTAAAAGAGAAAGATGTTAAAAAGATTTATTTGAACCTCAATTCTGAGAGTTCCTGTAACCCTCTCTTTATTTCATTTTTTGAGTGACACACAATGGGTCCGTATCTATGAGATTCAGTGCGATGCTCTCACTCGTGTACATGAGCAGTTATCAATGCAGGGTAATTAGCAGATTCACACCGTGACTCCACCATTGCTTTGTAGAGAATCTACTTAAAATCTCTCTTCGGTGTGTTATGATTAACTGTGCCCACTCTCCTGCTCCACGGAGCACCACAACTCCTTCCTCCTGTCGATCTGTGGCATTGAACCACTGACCGACCTTTCTCCCTCCCCTCCCTCTGCCCTTCCTGCCTCTGGTAACCACTATTCTATCCTCAACTTCCATGAGATCAACATTTTTAGATTCCACAGTGAGATGGGGCAATGTTCGTCCTTCGGGGCTTATTTAAATGTCGCTCTGCTCACGGCACTTGGGTGTGATCCCATTTCCGCCTAAAGAGCATCCACTCATCCCAGGAGCATTTACTGAGCATCTTTGCCAATCTCTATTCCACCTACTGAGAAAGACCTGCAAACAAGAAAGGTCCCCGCGCTGATGAAACTCGCCATCTGGGGCTTGATGTCCTCATGAACCCCCTAGAGAGTCTTGTAAAGTACAGGTCTGGCTTCATTCAGCATACCTGGGCTGCGGTTTGAGATTCTGCATTCCTAACAGGCTTTCAGATAATGCTGGGTCCTCCAAGGACCATATTTTGACTACAAAGATATGGGGAGAGACATTCAGCCTTAAAAAATGTTCTTTCAAATCACCTTGGTCCTTCCTTCTTCCCCAGCACCTCTCTTGGCTAGTCATCTCTATTAATCTGTTTTCATTACTATAATAAAACATCTGAGACAGGCTAACTATATAAAAAAAGGTTTATTTAGTTCTAGAGGTCAATGAAGTTGGCATCAGCTTGGCTCTAGAGAAGACCTCATGATGGCTGGTGTCACAATAATGTGGGGGGCAGTAGAAATGCGGGGAGGCTCACAATCCCAAACAGGAAGCCAGAGAGCAATTCAAAGGTCAGATTTTTCTCCTATCAGAGTTCACTCTCCCAAGAGCACCGCCCTCAGTGACCTAAGGGCCTCCCATTAGACCCCGCCTCTTAAAGGTCCACAGCATCTCCTCACATGGCCACAGAAAACCAAGCCTCTGCCACAGAACCCTCAGGGTGCACATTCAAACTGTATGCAAGCTCAGCACCATCAGGGTCACGTCCCTTGGTTTGGAAAGGCCAGTCAGAGTGCTCTGAGCTGGAACTCGGATCCAGGGGTTTCTTGGCTTTGCCTACTGGCACTGGAGAGTGGGTCTTGCTTGGTAGTGGGCAGCTATCCTAGTTTCATAGGACACTGAACAGCAAGATGCCAGGAGCAGCCTCCCCCTGGCTATAACACCAAAGATGTCTTTCACCACTGGTAAAGGTCTCCAGGTCTCCAGGGCTGGAGAAGGAGCAGATTTTCCACCCAGCTGAGATTCACTGGCCTGTTTCAAACTTACCACTGTGGTAATAACTAGCCTTTACATGGTGTTTACCAGGCAAAAAAGGCTGTTCTGAAAGCACAGCGTCTCATAACTCATTCAACTTAAAAAACAAAACAAACACACAAAAAAACCTCTATAAGGTCCTGTGTCTGTCTTAGGCACAGAAGGATTGAGTGACTTGCCTAAGGTCACACAGCAGGAATGAATAGTGGAGTTAGGATTTGAACCTGGGTCCTCTGGCTCCAGAGCCACCTTCCCACTCTCCCCGTGGATAGGAGGGCTACCAGATTTGGTTTCTAAGAATTCTTTATGTCTTCCAAGCTCCAACAGATTGTCAACAACTTTGAGTCACTCCTCACCAATCAGACTTTCTGGGGAGCAGGAAGCAAGCAAGAAGTCGCCTCAACAGCCTCGTCTATCCTCCAGAATGTGGAATCCAAAGTTCTAGAAACTGCCTTGAGGGCCCCAGGACAGAAAATCCAGAAGGTCCAAAACAGTACTGTGGGTAAGAAGGCGAGCCTGGGTGAAGAGATTAACAATACACTGCATGAGCCATTCATATCAGCTGCTAGGAATACAGACTGTTGTGGGAGGAGGAAGGCCGAGAGGGACGACAGGCAGGAGGCAGAACCTCTGGGGAGCCTGACGGGGTGATGGAAATGTCCTACTAGCACAATCGTGTGGTGGCTTCACAGGCGTAAACTCAACGACTTGAACACTCTGATGTGTGCGGTTTCTTGGACCTTGATCACACCTCCATGAAGCTGCTTCACAAAGATATTGAAATCCCAGCGGTTCAGGAGGCTTAGGCAGGAGGATGGCAAGTTCAAAGCCAGCTACTTAGCGAGGCCCTAAGTAACTTAGTGTCTAAGTAAAATATAAAAAGGGCTAGCTCAGGGATTAAGCGCCCCTGGGTTCAATCCCTAAAAAAAAAAAAAAAAAAAAAAGAAAGAAAAAGATACTGAAGCATGATGGTGCATGCCTGTAATCCCAGCTATCGGGAGGCTGAGGTACAAGGATTGCAAGTTCAAGGCCTGCCTTAGCAAGTTAGTGAGATCTCTGTCCAATAAAAAATAAAAAGGGCTGGGGAGTAGCTCAGTGGTAGAGTGTCCTAGGGTTCAATACCCAGTACTGAAAATAATAATGATATTACCATTATTATTATTATTATTATTATAAAGAATGGTCTCCAATCCTGGGTCTATTATTTTGACTTAAAAGGAATTTAATTTTGGGTGCTGAGCCTATAATTTTTACTTAAAAGTAATTTGGGGAGGTGCTGGGGTCTTGTGGTGCTAGGTAGACACTCCACGGCTGACCACACCCCAGCCCACTAGGCAACTTTCAAAGGTCCTTATATCATCAGTAAACTTGACCCTTGCTTTCCTCACCAGCTGTCGAAACTCGAGTGGTTTCAGACAATTGCTCCGAAGAAAGAGAGGCATTCCGCTTGCACACCCAGATGAACTCCATGGTCATCCACTGCATCGACGTCATCCAGGGACGTGCACAAGGTACTGGCCAGCGGCACTCAGGGCCCTCAGAGCCGGGCCTCAGTCAAGTCCCTGGGAAATGTGCCCTGAAGCCTCCTCCCCAATGGGTGGTTGCCCTTGGGCTTTGCCATTCGAGTTTTTTCCTTTCAAGAATACACAAAGACATCTTCCCCAAGGGGAGACTTTCTGATCTGCCACATGGAAAAGACGTCTATGAAATCTGGGGGTCGGGGGGTTAATCGTCCGGTGTCTTGGTTTTGCGTTCACCCAAAGCAGATCTGGGTGAACCGATGTACGGAGTCTGTTTGGAAAATGACACCAGAAAACACCAGCAGGTGTATGAGTGTGGGGTCTCCATGAAACCCCACCGACAGGGTGAGGGCCTAGGTGTGTGCTCCCAGGATGACAGAGGCCAGTCGGTCCAAACTCAGCAGAGTGGGCAGGCCGCTGGAGACCCAGGGAAGAGCTAATGTCGCAGCTTGAATCCAGAGATACTCAGGAGGCAGAAGTTCCCCTTCTTTGGAAGTTCTCAGTCTGTTTTCTCTCAAGGCCTTCAACGTAGATTAGATGAGGTCCACCCACATTTTAAGGAGGAAAATCTGCTTTTACTCAAAATCTATTTACGTCCATGTGAATCTCATACAAAAAATTTTAAAATATTTTTTAAAAAGCCTTCGCAGCAACCTTCAGACTGATGTTGTACCCAATCTCTAGGTCCCATGGCCTAGCCAAGAGACACATTATTAGCTAGGTAAAGAGAAGTGAGACCAAAGCAAAGGCAACCTGTCAGGATACCTGAGCGATCAGGTTACTGCTGGGCCCGCCCAGGGAGCTGCAAGGTGTCCTTCCACTGTGATCCAAGGGGCGCCCTCCCACCTGGCTATTCCACTTAAGGTAGGGACTGAGCAGCTGACCACCTGCTCTGGTCTGTTTGTGGGTGGTAATGGACCCCACCAGCCACCCTGTGGCGGTCACTCAGAGGGTCATGCTGCTTGTCATAGAATCCACCTGTAGGTCGGGGTCCCTACAGCAGCTTCTACAGCTCATACAGAAAGCATTGGGTTGTTACCCATTGTCCCGGGATCAGCAGACTTTCTGATGTTTCAAGACAAACCAAAAATGGGGTTGCATAAGGAAAACTTCCAAATTTTAAGTTTGGCAATGTTTTTCCTCTACTTGCAATGGAAACATGATAGCTAACAGCATAATAAACGGGGTCTGGCTTCGTCCATTTGGGTTGCTGTTCACAGAATCCTGAGCCTGGGTAATTTACAAAGAAGTTTGTTTCCCACTGTTCCGGAGGCTGGGAGTCTAAGATCAATGCACGGGCTCTTGCTGCATCATTCCATCGTGGAGAGAGGAGGGGCAGGAGAAGACCAAGTCCTTCTAACAATTTCTAGAGTACTGTTCACGTGTTCATGCCGGCAGAGCCTTTGTGACCCAAACGCCTCCCAAAAGGCCCCACCTCCCAACACGGCTGCATGGGGGATTAAATTTCCAGCACACAAATTTTGGGGAACACACTCAGACCTAACAGGAGCCATCAAAGGCTTAATACCTGTAATTAATTCAGGTCATCCTGATCCATCCCATATCTCTGATCAAAGGGAAGCTATGGGTGCTATGGGTCCTATAGGTCCTATGATTTAAATGCATTCCCTAAAATTCATGTATTGGAAAGTAAATCTCCAAATTCATATGTTGATGGTGTTTGGAGGTAGGCCTTTGGGAAGTGACTAGGATGGGACAAGGTCGGAAGGGTGAGACCCCCATCGTCATGGGATTAGCAGCTTTCTAAGAAGAAGAAGAGGGGCCCAAGTTTGCGGGCTCCACCTTTTGAAGGCACTCCCTTGCCCTTCCGTCTTCCACCATGGGATGAGGCAGCAAGAAGGCCCTCATCAGATGCCATGCAGATATCAACATCATGCCCTGGGACTTCCCAGCCTCGGGAACCGCAAGCCAAATAAGTTTCCTTTCTTTATTAATTACCCAGTCTCTGGTACTCTGTGGTAACCACACACGGACAGCAGGTGTTCACTGAATTAGACTAAGGTTTACAGATCATCTCTACCACTGGAGTTTCCAGAGCTGGTGAGTCAGGGGAGACGGTCCACTAGTTAAATAAGGGGACATAACGTGTGGGTGCTTTTAGGACTGATGAAGAGGGATAAGAGAGACATTGGGAAGGAACTGTTTTGTACGCCATCCATGAAGCCTTGATTGGGTGATGCTGGAGCAGAAACCTGTGGAAGGCCAGGAACCCCCCAGGCAGCTGTGTGGGGGAGTCTTGGAGGCAGCAGGCCCAGCGTACAAAGGCAACGACAGGGAGAGTCGAGGAATGGGGAAAAGGCCGATGGGGACGAGGTATTGTCTCATGGTAGCGCGGATTGAACCCAGGGCCCTGCACACTAAGCCAGCGCTCACCACGGAGCCCCAGCCCCAGGCCGCACTGCCCCCCACACGCACACACACTAAAGGCTCCCTTTCCCTTTCCTCAGGTCCCAGTGCGGTTGCTTTCGTCTCCTATGCTTCTCTGGGAAACGTCCTCAATGCGACTTTTTTTGAAAAGGCCGACGAGAAGGACCCGCTCTACCTGAACTCCCAGGTGGTGAGTGCCGCGGTGGCACCCAGAAGGAACTCGTCCCTCTCCCAGTCTGTCACCCTGACCTTCCAGAACCTGAAGGTGGGTGGAAGCCGCCCTGGCCCTGGTCAGGTTTTGTGAGCCTAAACCCATTTGCATGCCGTTTCCCCACCCACCACCCCCACCCCACAGGCCACCCCCAGCCAGCCCACCTCCAGTCATACACCATCCTTCCCACCGCAGGATCCATGCCTGTGTTGATAAGAATCAGGGACGGCTTTGGTGTCAAGGGACTGGGCTCTGAGCCAGTGTGGAAGGCAACCAGGTCTCAGGCTCTGTTTTCACTGGACTCCCACAGGGAGGGGCGGGGTCCAAAGCCAAGAAATTATCATAAAAGTCTGGCCCCCAACAGCCCTGGCTTTATTGTACCTTATGGAAATAGAGCTGAGGCTACACAGCAGGTGCCCTGGCAGCCACTTAGAATGTGGGTTAACTTGGGAGACACGGTGCTAAGTGAAATAAGCCAGGTCAGAGAGACAAGCCCCGCAGGGTCTCACTCGCACGGAATCTAAGGAACTTGGCCTCCTAGAAACTGTGAGCCCAATAGTGGCCACCAGAGACCGTGGGGAGGGCATACAGACAGGGGTGCGGGAGGTTAGTCCATGGGACAAAGTTGCAGTTACATAAGGAAATAAGTTCTGCCACTTTATTACATCATAGAATGACTTTAGTTAACAATGATAACAATTGTAAATTCTATGTTTCAAAATAGTTAAAAGCCAAGATTTTTAATATACTCACCAAAAAAAAGTGATATAGGGGCTGGGGCTGGGGCTCAGTGGTAGAGCACTTGCCTAGCATGTTTAAGGCACTGGGTTTGATCCTCAGCACTGCATATAAATAAATGAATGAAATAAAGGTCCATCAACATCTAAAAATATATTTTTAAAAAGTGTTACATACTTGAGGATATATACATACCTTATATGCTCGAGTACATATGCATATATATGATATATATATATATATATATATATATATATATATCCTCAAACGTATGTGTATATATAATATACATATATGCATATACCCAAAAGTACAGCATAGTCAAGTGTGACGGCTCATGCGTGGAATCCCGGCTACTCAGGAGGCTAAAGCAGGAGGATTGCAAACTCAAGGCCAACCTGGGCAATTAAACAAGATCCTGCCTCAAAATAAAATTGTTTTAAAAGCTGGGAACGTGCTGAGGGCCATTACCAAGTAGGAATGACGCATCGAAATTTCCTTGCCAAGCGTACCCCATGCTGCTTAGAGGACATTTGATGGGACATTGCATGCATGCTTTAATAAGGTGACCTTGCTCAAGGACCAAGGCGGATCTGGGTTTAGAGCTGATCAGGTTTGAGGAAGTAACCGGCTCCTTGAGTTTAAGGCGTTGCCAGTTTAAGATAATGGGTTTTAGGGAAGTTGGAAGTTGAAGATTATTGCTGGGATTAGGGTGTTCCTGCTGCTTGTTCCCGTTGAGTTCTCGTGAGATTAACATGGGATTTGGAGATAGCCTCGTGGAGTAGGTGAATTGTGCGGGAGACGGCAGAGCGCGATTGCCCCTGGACCTGTGTGGAGGTGGTGTGAGAGCTGGAATAAAGAATTGCTGTTTGAATCTACAAAGCTGTGTGGTGGCTCGTGATTCTGGTGCCAAGCATTGACCTTGGCAGGAACGTAGGTGAAAGATAGAGCACCCTGGGTTCAATACCACTACCACAAAAAGAGCACAGTATACCCCATAAATGTGTGTAATTACCGGCTATAAACATGCATGATTATCAGGTATCGATTAAAGATGATTTTTAAATAGAGGTCCCCTGAGTGGCTCCTAACCCAGGAGCCTTCACATGGGCACCCTGGCATGGACCAACCCTGGGAATCACCCCTCCCGAGGAGGAAGACCATGAGCTCGTTCTGTTTCCAGATGAAACCCAGCAGCCGAAAGGCCTTCTGCGTCTACTGGAAGATCACAGAGGCGGGGGGCCACTGGTCCAGAGATGGCTGCTTCCTCACACAAGTGAACCAGAGTCACACTGTCTGCAACTCCACGCACCTGTCCAGTTTCGCTGTCCTCGTGGCCTTCACCAGCCAGGTACGCTGTGAGCATTTAACTCTTCCTCCTAGGACAGTCATCCATCAGTGTCCACGGACCAGGACCCCATGAAGACACCAAAACCAATGGAAGCCCAAGTCCCTTATCTAAGATGGCATAGCATTTGCCTAGAACCAACCCACGTCCTCCCGTATATTTTAAATCACGTCTAAATAACTTGCAATACTTCATACAATGTAAATTCTGTTCATAGTTGTTACACTGTATTGTTGAGAGAATAATGTCCAAACAAAAAAAGAACTGTACACATTTAGTACAGATCCAATTTTTTCCTGAATGTTTTCAGTTCAAGATTGCTCAATTCCTTGCTGTGTTAGTCAGATCCCGGCGGCTGTGACAAAATACCTGAGAAAATCAACTTAGAGGAGAAAAGATTTATTTCAGCTCATGGCTTCAGAGGTTTCAGTCTGTGGTCACTTGACCCTGTCGGTCACTCTGGGGGGAAGTAGAATCAGGTATCATGAAGACAGAGGGAAGGTCAGCAGAGTAGAGAGTTGGCTCTGTCCTCTCATGGTAACAGGGGCTTCCTGAAAGCTGCACTCCCTGCTACTTCCCCGCATCACAAGAGAATATTATGTCATATCAGTAGCCCAAGAAAATTACAAAACCCAACGCACACTTTCTACTGAATGCACAGCACTTTGGCACCACCAAAAAAATCAAGAAACTATAAGTCAAACCATCCTAAGTTGGACTCTGCATATTGAATAGGACAAACAGTAGTAAGTTGTAAATGTGTGACAAAGCCACGGAGCTCGAGCTAGGGCGGCCGACTGGATGGAGAAGTGGCCAGGGAGAAGCCAAGCAGGCCTGTTAGGCAGAATGCTCTCAGCCTCAACTTCTCCAGTGAGAAGAACGTTACTTTCTCACCCTGGTGTAGGGAAACCATCTTCCATTTGGAGGTTTCGTCTCGTTCTTTTGAAGAAAAAGAGGAAGTCAAAGTGCGATTTTCTTGGGCCTTCTGGTTTGGGGGGTTTTGTTGGTTTTTTGAGGGGATGGGGGAAGGTAGTGCTTTTGGTTCCAAAGAATTCTTCTTGCCAAAGTGACGTGTTTGGGGGTGGCCCATCCAGCCACCCATATTGGCCTGCATGTGTCCAAATGCTTCAAATGTCTACATTGAACAGGTCCATTTTGTTTACTAAATGTGCCTCAATAAAGCTGAAAACAGAAAAAAGTCGTCTGGTAGACAGACGCTTCCCACCTGTCATCAGGCATCATGCCTGGGTGGGGGATGCCCTAGTCCAGCGATGAGGGGAGGCTGGAACCCCAGAGCAGGGAGCGTGGCTGTGAAGGCTCCTCCCTCTGCCCCAGGACGAGGACCCCGTGCTGGACATCATCACCTGCGTGGGGCTGGGCGTGTCGCTGCTGTGCCTGGTCCTGGCGGCCCTCACCTTCCTCCTGTGCAGAGCCATCCAGAACACCAGCACCTCCCTGCACCTGCAGCTCTCGCTCTGCCTCCTGCTGGCCCACCTGCTCTTCCTCACAGCCATCGACAGAACCCAGCCCAAGGTACCCGGGCGTCCCAGGGGGTGCTGAACCGCACGGGGCTCTAATCAAACGGCCTGAGGTCTGTAAGAGAGAAAAACAGTTTCCCTCTGCCCTCCTGAGATCTTAGCTGGGGCTCCTGTAACAAAGACCATGAGCCCGAGTTCGTCACCAGGCGGATGTCACGTCCCGAGGGAGAGAGCAAGGCAATGAGGAACTCTCCAAGAGGGGGCTTAGAACCCGGGTTAGACGGCACCCTCCACAAGACGGTCAGGTTTGGGAGAAGGACAAGGTAAAGGAAGAGAAGTTTAGGGTGCCCAGGGGGCGCCACGTGTGGGAAGGCAAATGGGCAGGACATGCATGGTGGTTAGAGTGTGTTCCTGCTCCGGGCTGGGGAGGATCTGAGTTGTCCTCAGGGATCAACTGTCGTCCTTCCTGGTAGAGAGGAGAGGAGGACCCCCTGTACATGTGTGTCTGCATATATTATTTAAAAGGAAGGAAGGAAGGAATCCTGTCACTTGTGGCAACATGGTGAACCTGGAAGATGTGAAGGTATGAAACAAGCCAGGCCCAGAGAGTCGAACGCTCTGTGACCTCGTGTATGTAGAGGAGGTCACCAGAGGCCGGAGGAGGGGAGGGGCGCTGGAGAGAAGTGGTCAAAGGATACAAAATTTCATTTAGACTAGAGGAGTAAGTTCAAGAGACCTATTGAGCAACATGGTCACTAGGGTTTGTAACACTGTATCGTGTTCTCTGAAAAACCACTGAAGGCCAGGTGTGTAGCCCATGCCCATAATCCCAGCAACTCAGGAGGCTCAGGCAGGAGGATCCCAAGTTTAAAGCCAGCCTCAACAATTTAGTGAGACCCTGTCTCAGAACAAAATATCAAAAGGGCTAGGGATGGGCTGGGGTTGTAGCTCAGTGGTACAGTGCTTGCCTCCCACACATGAGACCCTGGGTTCAATCCTCAGCACCACATAAAAAATAATAAATAAATAAATAAATAAAGATTTTGTGTTCATCTACAACTAAAAAACAAAAAATTTAAAGAGTGAGAGCTAGGGCTATAGTTCAGTGGTTAAGGGTCCCTGGGTTCAATCTCTGTTATTAAAAATGTGGGGTGGGATTATATATATATAAAGAATAGATTATTTAAGTGTTCTCATCACAAAAAGAATGATAAGTATATAAATTCATATCTTGTTTTTTCAGCAGATAATGGGAAAGCTGAGAGCTCCTTTTTTATTGTTTATTTGGTTGGTTTTTGTATTTTTATTTATTTGTTTGTTTATTTTATGTTTGCTTCTTTCAGTTGCCTTTGGCTCAAAATAATTCTTATGCCAAAATGGCAATTTCTCTTTTTATGGTACAATATATATTTTTAATATGAGCTTTATTTATTTATCTATTTATTTTTTTATTATTGGTCGTTCAAAATATTAAACAGTTCTTAATATATCATATTTCACAGTTTGATTCAAGTGGGTTATGAACTCCCAATTTTACCCCGTATACAGATTGCTGTATCACATCAGTTACCCTTCCATTGATTGACATATTGCCGTTCTAGTGACTGATGTATTCTGCTGTCTATCCTATTCTCTACTATCCCCCCTCCCCTCCCCTCCCCTTTTCTCTCTCTACCCCCTCTACTGCAAATCGTTTCTTCCACTTGTATTATCTTGTCTTACCCCTCCTTTCCTCTTATATGTAATTTTGTATAACCCTGAGGATCACCTTCCATTTCCATGTGATTTCCCTTCTCACTCCCTTTCCCTCCCACCTCTCATCCCTGTTTAATGTTAATCTTCTTCTCAAGCTCTTCGTCCCTACCCTGTCCTTGGTTACTCCCCTTATATCAAAGGAGTCATTTGGCATTTGTTTTTTAAAGATTGGCTAGCTTCACTTAGCATAATCTGCTCTAATGCAAAATGGCAATTTCTTTCCAAATTTTATTTTTATTTGACAAATGATAACTGTAGATACTTAAGGGTACAATGTGAGGTTTCAGTACATGCCTACATTGTGCAATGATAATCCAGGCTAATCAACATATTTATCGCTTTTTAAAAATCCTCTCTTTTAGCAAGTTGGAATCTGCAGGGTTTTGGGGTGTGGCTCAGTGGTAGAGTAGCATGCTTGGCGTGTGCAAAGTCCTGGGCTCAACCTCTGGTGACAGGAAGGGTGGGAGGGAGGAGAGAGACAATACATTATTATTAACTATAGTGACTTCGGTCAAATGTTACAAATTTTTGGTTAGATCAGAGGAATAAGTTCAGGAGACCTCTCATACAGCATGATGACTACAGTCAAAAACATGTATTATAGTCTTGAAAATTGCAAAGAGTGGATTTTTAATGTCCTTATCACACACACAAGAAAGAAAAGAATGATCAGTTTGTAACTTCTGAGCAGAGAGTGGTGGTTTCAGAGGCGTTGGCCAAGGGGTATCAGCTAGACGGGGGAATAAGTTAAAGAATTTACAGTCAAGTACCTTATTTCAGAGCAGCATATTCTGGTCCTGGGTCGGGCTGCAGGGGCTATTGCCCAGGTGCCCAGTGCTGGCCTTGGCCATCATCGCGCTTACTTTAATGCCCTTGGTCTGACATGAGGTGTTCTGAATCCAAAGCCAGCCTGGGAGAGGCCCCGGGCCGAACTCCAGCTGGCACCCCTCCTGGGCCTCTCCTCCCCAGGTGCTGTGCGCGGTCATCGCGGGCGCCCTGCACTACCTCTACCTGGCCGCCTTCACCTGGATGCTGCTGGAGGGGCTGTTCCTCTTCCTCACGGCGCGGAACCTGACCGTGGTCAACTACTCCAGCGTGAACAAGCTCATGAAGTGGCTCCGGTTCCCGGTCGGCTACGGGGCTCCTGCAGTGATCGTGGCCATCTCAGCAGCAGCCAGGCCTCACCTCTATGGGACACCTGCTCGGTGAGCGGCACCCTCACCCCGGGTCCCACACAGTGTCCCGGGATCGCCTTTCAGGGACAGTGTCAAAGGGCCACGATGAGAATGCGGGAATCCAACTGTGTTCCCCGCTCTTCATAATAGCTTCCACCTACCTTCCAGAGAGACAGTGGGAGATGGTGGCAAGAGTACAGAAGGTTCTGGAAGGAGGGAGTTTTGTGGTTCACTCTCAGTTTTATCCGTCTCCTAATCTGGGACCTTGTGTCCTCAGGATTTAGCCCTTCCCTGCGACGAAGGTAACCATTGTCCCAACCTCACAGTCCTGTGAAACTTCCACAGGACGGTGCCCTAAAATGCTCAGTGGGACACCAATGCACAGTAGTGAGCAGTCGAAGCCACCGTCATCAGGTAGCTTTGAGGGAGAGCCAGGAAAGCCCTCTGATAGGGAAGGTGTCACCTCAGGTCCCTCTGACGTGTGCTTGCTCTCATCTCTCTTTCGGTCCCTCTTCCCGTTGTCTCAGCTGCTGGCTCCGCCTGGACCAGGGATTCATCTGGGGGTTCCTCGGCCCCGTCTGCGCCATCATCCTCGTGAGTATGCGCCCCCCCCCCGTGTTCCTGACTGAAGAGGGGCCACCACACGTGCTGGGTGCAAGACAGGACGGGGCCGTGCATTGCCTCAGCTGTGGTTTGACTTTCCTCCTGCTGCCTACGCATTCAATCCTACGGTGCCTGGCGGTAGAACTGTGCGTCTTTAGTGTGGACAAAACATAGGTTATTTTAACTGGTACTCTGTGCCCGGTCTGTGTCGCTCCTGCAGGTGAATTTGGTGTTTTTTCTTTCGGTCCTTTGGCTTCTGAGAAAGAAACTTTCCTCCCTCAACAGTGAGGTGTCAACCATCCAGAACACGAGGTAGGATGGGCCAGGGGTGGGGTTGGGG